CTGAGAAAGTTTCATGGAGAAAATCTAAGCTGGTTCACCACAATGGTGTCATTTAGGCAATAAATTGTTGACGACGGTATTCCTCATAAAACTTTTAGGATATTATGCATCTCTCTTACATCTTACATGAACATGTTTATCCAACACCTTCAAATTGGTTATAGACTGTATTTTGAAATAAAGAAAGTGCTTTCAATTTTCTATTCACCATCTCTATATCCCACATTTTGCTTTCATCTCGAAATAATCACTGACCAATGTGATTTCTCTCTCAATGAATCAGTGAGTTCAGATTTGACACTAACGATCATGTAATAGCCGCCCCAGTACGGGACCGGTGTTAGTGCGCAACGAGCCTGTTTAGCCATAGGTTCAGCCAGGGATAGCCGACATTGTTGTGCGTAAATAACCGCTATATCATAGCACATGACATGCTGCAACTCTCACAACGGGTTCCCGAATACAGCTTGTAGTCATGAAAGGGGTTCAAATTTTGTTGTGAACTGAAAGTGGCATACAAAAAATAATAAGGTACCTTGCTGATCTTACTCATTTTACCAACACTGAACATGGTAAAAGCCAAACTTCGCGTACTCAGTACTTCTCCAGAAAATACACAAACTCCGACCATTATTTAGCAGCAAACTGCAGCATCCGTACCAAGTTCTGAAACTCTGAATTCGTATTTTTAAAGCGTATTTATACAATGTATTCTTGTATTTTTCATAGTGATTATGATGTATTTCCCCACTAGCATTTACATTATAATTTCAGAGCATGTTCATAAAGAATTCTAACCTTAACCGCCATCTTTTAAATGATCAGCTGTCTCTAAAATTATGGCGAGAGCACTTATGAAACAAAATATTCTCGTCATTTTGTGTGAATCTAGAACAACGCAGAGTTCATACGTACATATTTATTTTCCATATATTACATTGCACATCTATAATACATTGGTGCATAGACGGACATATTTCTGTGAGGTAAGTGAACACCTAATAATACCCTGAGATGCTTCTCAAGAACTCATAAATATGAAGATAGTAACTTGGAAGTGAGAATTGAACGGACAAATTCAGTACAGAACCGACGACTGAATAACTTATCAGTAGGAGCTTAGCTCCATAAATTGCAGTCACTTTTACATCAATGTGAAGAGTTCCTCGGAGTTTTGCTATCAAAGGATGTGATAAAGTTAATCTTTCCTTGAGTACGGTCTTCGCAATAGTATGAAGATTACACCAATAAGGGCTATAATCAGAGAAAGGGCCGTAGCTGCTGGTACGATGAGATGTTGCCTTTGTACGCAATCACTTCCCCGCAGTCGTCGAAGCACGGTATTAATGTGCTCATCGTCTGCATCTAGGCCAAAATCTAAAAAGAGAGCCGGATGTTTTTCAACTATTCAAAAAAAGATAACTCGCTTGCCTAATTGAGGATCCAACACGTCAATCTGCTGTGCCCTGACGTCC